ACCTGAATTATTGATTTTGGAAGGGTAGACGTAGTTGCATCATTTCACCTACTTAAACTACCTCATTTACTCATTTTATGGATAACCTTACACTTTCTATTTCCGGTAACTCTCGTCCAAATAAAAGCCTCATTTCGGCTACACCTTTCGACGGTTGTCGTCACAGCATACGTCAGCTGTATGACAAATAACGTCGGGGCAAGTGCTGTGGTCGTAGCGTTTTTTCACGGCAACGAATGTGCTTATCATGGACGGGGAATTCTCCGGTTGTATCCATTGGTTTAATGGGCAAACATCAACTACAGCTGTGTAATGTGCAAAAATCTGAGGAATCCCCGCTATGAAGGCGAGTTTTCCAAGAGTTTGCGCGTAAATACCGAAATAGTAGCTATACATGAGATCGGGTATGCCAAAAGGTAAAATGGTAAATAAGAAGTACCACGGAGATATCTAAAAAATATTATTCGATGTAATAATAATTTATATTTACTAAATGTACAAAAGATACCGTAAAATAGTATAATCTAGAATAGTATGGTATAAATTCCTAACGAAGAACTTACCGTTAGGTATCCACACCGGGCGAGTCCAGAATAGTAAAACTTGAGAAGGTAAACGCTGTTGAAACTTTTTAACCCTACCCGGCTCAAACATCAAACAGCTTGGAGGCAAATTCAAAAAAAAAGGTTTTAACCAGGTTTCTAAGCCCCTGCAAAATTATTTATTGTACTGACTAGCTAAAGAAGGATGTTTACGGAAAAATTCGTAAATAAAAACACCGAAATTAACTTCTAAAATTATCGCAGCCTACGGGAAATTTGACCATTCCGGTGAAAAGCTGCAGGCGTCCATATAAATTCAAACAATAAAGGTTGAGTGTGCACAAATTTAGATAATTTATAAGTTTCATAGACACAAACTGCCGCAACTCAATCATCCAACATTCCTCTGACCTTTTCGTGAGCATTAATACATCATTACATTACACAAAGATGATAGAACCTCACGATCTTAAATCTATCTCTATTTAGATCACTTTTTTTGAAGGTTAAATAAATTATCATGCTCACAAAAGATCTGAGTAAAAAGATAGTAAAAAGAGATCACTAGAACAGTAAAATGATTGTTAGGATAAAAGTACAGCAGGTTCTGGCAAAATACATTGTCTAAGGAACGATCGCTTTGTGCTTCCTCTAAAATCCGATTTTAGCTATTCGGCACTTTTTA